GCTACAGACTTCTAGGTCAGGGAACTACAAATCCCAGCATAAACCTCAGACATGGCCGCCCGGGGCAATACCCCACAATACTCATACATGGCAGCGGGCTAAAACGTTGGACTTCTAAATATACGCATGCTCAGATACCCTATATAAAAAGACTCACATCTCCGCACTATTTGTGAAGTATACGGTCCATCCCTGTTGCGATGTTACAATTTAGTGATGTTAGGTCAAATGAGGCCAGGTTGAGGTTTGTATAGGTGGATGTTAAAGTCACCCATAACTACCAGCAGAGTGCCATCCTCAAGAAAAGACGACAGCAGCACTTCTAACTCTTCCAGGAAATTGCCTAGCTGACCTGGTGGACGGTAGATGACAACAAGTTGAAGTTTGGCAGGATTAGTGATAGTGATGGCATGATATTCAAAGGAGGTGTAATTGCCTGTCAGTGGAGAGCACTGAAGGAGTAGCAATGTTGTCTGCTGTGATGCAGGTTGTCTGCTCTGATGCATGACTGGCCAAGGCCAGAATGAAGTCAGCTTTGTTGACAGCTGACCGACAGTTCCACAGTTCAATAAAGATGGTGACAGGCTGAGGAGAGGACATGGCAAGGGGATGTAGAAGTCTTGGTATGTGCCTCTGTTTGCGCACATGCTTGTACTTCCATCTGCCATGGACAGAGATGAACTGGTGACACATGATGAGTGTAATACAGGGAAAAAGTAAAGTGGTAAAGAAAAGAAAGGGTTACTTAGAGTGGGAAGTCTGTTGAAGTTAACTTCATTTCAGAACATTCATTCACGGATTTGCACTACGCTACGGCCTGCAGTGTCCTCACACACAGATGAAACTTACTAGAGAAGTGTAAAGTGTGGCATAATATACCTCTGTAAATACATACCATTGAAATTCACGTCTTGCACACTTTAATGCCCTTTGAATGGAACATATACTCTCCCTTCGAACTGAAATCATGGCGGAATATTCTGTGAAGTCCACTTCGCAGGGCACTTAGTCAAATAGAACAAACGTCTGAAGTGATAAGAGATACATACAAAATGTGCAGAGCGGTGGGTCTCGAGGACTGGAATTGAGAACCACTGACTTAGAGCAGGGTGCTGTTGGTGTGCTTGTTTGGTGGAGCTCTACCCAGGTAGAGTAGCAGGTCTTTACCAGAGTGGTCTTCACACAAGCAGGGCTGCAGCTTCAGTATTGTTTGCTAATTAAGCAGTGCAACTACATTATTAACAGTGTACAAAGTGTAAACTGAAACTTCCACTGGATAGCTCTTAAATTAGCAACAATTAACAGATCGTACCTTAGTAGTGTCAGGGAAAAACACGGATTCAATTTGCAGGTTCAACTAAATTTCAATCTCAAAAAACAAAACTCGGCTGGGACTGAAGACCAGAAGCCGTAATTCAGGGCAGAGATTAGAGACAGGATGAGGGGAACAGTCTAAACGAGCCTCCAGTCACTCCACTAGGCAGAGAGGGTAAGGCGTAGGGAGATAAGCGCACACAGTCCCAGCATCAATGCTGACGCAATGTCAGAGTAGAGAGAGAACAGCGCACAGAGTCGCAGCGTCAGAGTAGAGAGAGAACAGCGCACAGGGTCCCAGCGTCAGTGCTGACGCAACGTCAGAGTGGACAGGGAACCGCGCCTAGGGTCCAAGCGTCGGCACTGATGCAACGTCAGGGCAGAGAGTTCCTTGTTGAGTGCGCCGAGAGGGGCAGGAGAGGAGATGCCGCGAAGCGCGGTTCTGGTAATGCCAGGGCAGGAACTGGGGAACAGAAATCTGGTGAAACGAGAGGCAGAGAGCGAGCAGAAGAGAAGACAACCTGAAAACACTAAACTGTACTTAAAGCATATCAAAACACAACAAGACTGGTAGTAAGTCACGAACGAAGTGTAGCGTGTTCACACCACAACGGTCAGACACAAGACTACACACGAGGGGAACTTAAAAAGAGGGAGAATTAAGGAATTAACAAGTCACAGGTGTGACGGCAGCTAAAGTAGTTAATAAGATAACGATGGGGAGGGAAACCACGAAGACAATGAGCACATGGCATGTCAAAACAAAGACAAAAACAACAACAACCTGCTGATCAGACCGAAGTCATGACAAGTAGTCTTAAAAGTGCAGTTCAAACTCCTTACTGGCAACAGCTGCTAGATCAACAACCACAGCACGTACACTACAGCTACTACTCACTCTGATAAACAAATGCTTCTCTTCTTTTTCCTATTTCCTTCAGCAATTCTGCTTGTGGTTAATAAGAAGAATCACTGAAGGAAAGAGGAACAAGAAGAGAGAAAAAAAAGATCATGTGATGCTACTGAGTGGACGCAGAGATCCAAGCTCCTAAACTTTTTTTTCAAATTTTACTCTAGAAGAAGAAGAAGAAGAAGAAGAAACTTTATTGTCATTCTAATAATACAACGAAATTTGTTTGGTAGCTTTTAGAGACCAGCAGCATAACAGCAAAACAACACTAAATACATTTACACTCAACGTATTTGACTACCTGACGCTTGCTTTCAGTGTTGGGTAGTGGATCGCCATTCTAAACTTAAAGGGGTCCTATTATGCTTTTTCACTTTTTCAACTTTAGTTAGTCTGTAATGTTGCTGTTTGAGCATAAAAAGATATGCAAAGTTACAAAGCTCAAAGTCCAATTCAAAAGGAGATATTTTATTTAACAGAAATCACTTTTCAAAAACTACAACGAACAACTCGTTTGGACTACAACGCATATTTTCCAGGATTTGTGATATCACAAATATCGACGAATGGGA